AAAAAAATATGCAAAATTATGCACAAATAGAAAACAATGATTTTTACTCACTACATAACATATTTATCATTTCAGTTATTACGTAATCATCGAATCCTTCAACATATAAATTATTCATTCTTGTACTTAAAAGTTCTTGTAAAACCGGAACTTTCCATTCATGTTCCAATGGGACATCAAAATATTTTATTTGTTTCTTAACTAACATTTTACTAAGATTGGAAGGATTTACAGAACAATCATTTGCAATACAAAATAAATTTCTGCCAAGAACTGTGTTGAGGTCATTTTTACATAAATTAGAAAGAAATCTAATGCAAAGCTTAGAACTTGCTTCAATAGTCTCATAGAAAGACACACATCTGCTAGCTAACATAGTTTTTACATGTAAACATTGTGTAATGTACGTGAGTTTGGTATTGGATTAAGTATAGTGTGTACTAGTGTATAATGTCCCCTGATATTTGTGTGATTAGCTAAATCACGGAATATTTATAAATATATTAGATATGTATATAATTATACATATATACAATATACTTAATCAATACATTTATCATTAGAATAATACTAATGATCTATACACATTCTAGAATTGTACATTAGAATAAATTGAAAATACAAAATATGGTTTCCAGTCTTTTATGTCACTTCGTGAAATCTTTTCTAATAATCTAGTAATCTAGTTTTTAACTGATGCTTTTTAAGTCACCATTTCTTCATCGTTCTCAAATAAGAGGATTTCTGTTTAAATTGCATTGGACTTTCAAAAATAATAAATGTCAACCTTTTTTAAAAATTTTAAATTTTGACCCGCCATAAATCTTTTCTAGGATCTAATCCGTTTAACCGTTTTAATATTTATTAGATACAAACTAGAGACAAAAAGCTATATTTATGACAGCTTATGACAGAGCTTTGGGCAGTTCAAGGAGATATTGAATAGAAGGAGGGGGCGATAGGGTTTCCGTACACTTTGCTGTGACGTTTTTGGACTGCTGAAGAACTAGTTTTTGCGTAACAACAATAATAAAGATTGTAAACAATAAAGAGGCGGGGGCAGGATAACCTTGAATTTGATTGAAAATGTCTCTGTAATAAGGTCCTTTTCGTATAAAACTAAATCCTTAACTTTTTCAATCTTTTTAACAAGATAATACTACTTTTTAGCAGTTATCTCATGTTTGTTTACATTAGATCGGCTGCCTTTGTTATTGATGTTACGCAAAAACTAGTTCTTTAGCAGTCCAAAAACGTCACACCAAAGTGTACGGAAACCCTATCGCACCCTCCTTCTATACAATATCTCCTTGAGGCAGTTTAAGTCAAAGAACCTGTCAAATCATTCGTTGGGATGTTTAGAAAGATGAAAATTTCCCTGTATGATAATTGAAGGACTGCAGTATGGTTTTGGTGAATTATATTGGCGTACAAAGCCTAGGGGTGTCAGAAATGATTTTTTTTGCATATTTNTGATACTCCGTGTTGTGTTTAAACATTATGTATTTTGATACTCCGTGTTGTGTTTAAACATTATGTATTTTGATACTCCGTGTTGTGTTTAAACATTATGTATTTTGATACTCCGTGTTGTGTTTAAACATTATGTATTTTGATACTCCGTGTTGTGTTTAAACATTATGTATTTTGATACTCCGTGTTGTGTTTAAACATTATGTATTTTGATACTCCGTGTTGTGTTTAAACATTATGTATTTTGATACTCCGTGTTGTGTTTAAACATTATGTATTTTGATACTCCGTGTTGTGTTTAAACATTATGTATTTTGATACTCCGTGTTGTGTTTAAACATTATGTATTTTGATACTCCGTGTTGTGTTTAAACATTATGTATTTTGATACTCCGTGTTGTGTTTAAACATTATGTATTTTGATACTCCGTGTTGTGTTTAAACATTATGTATTTTGATACTCCGTGTTGTGTTTAAACATTATGTATTTTGATACTCCGTGTTGTGTTTAAACATTATGTATTTTGATACTCCGTGTTGTGTTTAAACATTATGTATTTTGATACTCCGTGTTGTGTTTAAACATTATGTATTTTATTCGAAAAATAAAAGAGTTCTGTAAAAGCTGAGATGGGGATGAAACACTTAAAACAAAGTGTAAGGATATGTGTATACTGTAAAGTGTATACTTTTCATAAAATAAACTTTTTCTGGGTAAAACTGTAGAAATATATATATAATAACCATTCTTGATAAATAATAGAACATGTTCTAGACTTATTTTAAGAAGATATGACAGAAAAGGAGTTTCTACATGCATTATACAGAATTGTCAAAGGCTCAAATAATTTTTTATTTTTCAAATTCCTCGGGCAACGCCGGGTTTCCAGGTCGGGAGTATATATATATCAATATAGATACTCTATTAAAGAAATTTGACTATTTTTTGCTCTGGATCGTTGTGATGCGTGAAACTTGTATTATTTTATAGAAATATGTAATTAAGCGCGTTTCAATGTAATATGTATTTGCATTTGTATAAATCTGATATTTTTTAAACTATTATGAATACATAATATTAAAGCTTGAGAACCCAACTTCTCTAAAATCCAACTCTCTGTAGTTAAAAATTTTAAAACCAAAATAAGATCATACAAACAGAGATTGCTTCTTATATATAGATAGATTTATTTATCGTGCTCGTATAATTAATAATTCTGATATTCAGTAAATATAAAAGAATATTAGGATAAGTGAATCATTTATTGACATAAAATATAAAAAATATGTATTAAAAAATACTTCTGTATATAATCCATACACTTGATTGTTAAATAATCTAGTTTTTTCATGGATTTACATATTTCTGTCAAAAATATTGTGTATTTTTAAGTTCAATATAAATGCAGTTAAAAACGAGAATGTTAAACGTGTTTTCTCATTGTTTTCTGTAATGGAAATACGCAAGACACCACAAAACCACAATTAGAAATTATGGATTATCTCATGTATTCCTAGCTGATGAAACTAAGTACCCTTAAAGGGTACCGTTGTGAGTCGGATATGCCCGCTTTGAATGGAGAGTCGCTTGAAATTTCGTCTAAAGTCCCTTTAATCTAATGCACCAACACAACAAAAAAGTTTTCAGAATCAAAATTTTTTTATTAATATTCGCAGCCTTTAAATCCCTTAATAACTCTATTTTTTTCTTTAGAGTTTATTTATCTATTTCCTATTGTCTCATCCATTTAAAAGAAATTAATTTTTGGGGGTTTATGTTGTTTATATAAAAAAAAATACTAAATAGTATCAAAAATGAAAACGTTTAAAGCTATGGCAATCCAATATATTCCTAATGATAAGACTAACAAATTTTAAAGATAATGTAAAATAGCATTTTTCATATAAAATGTAAAAATAATGAAGATATTTAAAAGTACATAAATAAACTGTAAAATCAGGTTAATTTCAAGTACCACACTTTTTAAGTAGCTAGGGCAAACTGTACAGTACACATAGAGGACCAAAGGAAGTACACTTAATAAATCAGTCCCACTCCCTTCTGGTGCACGGCACATTGAATATCAGATTAAAAAATAATTTAAGTTTTCCTTTTTGATATGTGGTAGATGTTTGATAAGTTTTCAAAATAAATGCATTAATTTCCCGAGTACAGAAAGCGTTTTGGGATTATATTAAGTCCAATCAAATTAATTCGTACAAAATAATTCATGATAACTTTTTAGGCTTCAAGAATGAACGGACATCTAGGATCTACCACAATCAAACCCGACCAGATGCAGGTACAGATTATTCTGTACACTCTAGCTACACTGTACACTCTACACTGTACACGCTACATTGTACGCTCTACACTGTACACTGTACACTCTACACTCTACTCTCTACTCTCTACTCTCTACACTCTACACTCTACACTCTACACTCTACACTCTACACTCTACACTCTACACTCTACACTCTACATCTACACTCTACACTCTACACTCTACACTCTACACTCTACACTCTACACTCTACACTCTACACTCTACACTCAGCATTGTACACAAACATGAAACAACAGTGCCAAGACCCAGTTCTCCTTACCTTGTTTACTATATTTGTTATTGTTTACAACAAAACTAGTTTCCTGTAAGCACTTCACAACGCTTAATGTAAACAAACCCTGTCCTTCTCTTCTTATTAACCCTCACTACAAACATTTAGTCTCCGACATGTCACATTAAGTATCCGACATGTTAATGTCACATTAAGTATCCGACACGTTAATGTCACATTAAGTATCCGGCATGCTAATGTCACATTAAGTATCCGACATGCTAATGTCACATTAAGTATCCGACATGTTAATGTCACATTAAGTATCCGACATGTTAATGTCACATTAAGTATCCGACATGTTAATGTCACATTAAGTATCCGACATATTAATGTCACATTAAGTATCCGACATGCTAATGTCACATTAAGTATCCGGCATGCTAATGGCACATTAAGTATCAAACATGCTAATGTCACATTAAGTATCCGGCATGTTAATGTCACATTAAGTATCCGACATGCTAATGTCACATTAAGTATCCGGCATGCTAATGTCACATTAAGTATCCGACATGCTAATGTCACATTAAGTATCCGACATGCTAATGTCACATTAAGTATCCGGCATGCTAATGTCACATTAAGTATCCGACATGTTAATGTCACATTAAGTATCCGACATGCTAATGTCACATTAAGTATCAAACATGCTAATGTCGAAAATCTTAAGTCCAGAATTATTAACCCGACATCTTCGCCATTGGAATAATAAGTCGGTTTGAATGTTTTCAGGGAGTTTGCATTGTTATATTTTACCATTGTTATATTTTACCATTTTCTGAGTTTTTTCATTTTATTTTTGTCGACTTTAATTCTATATTCACACAATGCATTTATCATTTAATTAATCAGATCCAGCTCAAACAGGGTTCCTCAGCAGTCAACATACATTACAGCTGGTGTTAATAGACAGGGTTCCTCAGCAGTCAACATACATTACAGCTTGTGTTAATAGACAGGGTTCCTCAGCAGTCAACATACATTACAGCTGGTGTTAATAGACAGGGTTCCTCAGCAGTCAACATACATTACAGCTGGTGTTAATAGACAGGGTTCCTCAACAGTCAACATACATTACAGCTTGTGTTAATAAACAGGGTTCCTCAACAGTAAACATACATTACAGCTGGTGTTAATAGAACTTTTTCATATCGTCTTCTTTTTTCCTTAAATTGTAAATTGTCTCTTAAGTGTTTTTATTAGCAACAGTAATATTTCGACAAAAAAAATAAAAATTATGTCAGTTACATCAAAAATGAAGACGTCATTATTTTCGCATGTTTTTAGTGGTCACTGTATGTATGTTTTCCACACGCTCTTAAATGTTTATAATAACAGTTTGTTACACATTTTCACAACAACATTATAATCCATAGTCCTAATTTGTTACTTATACAGCAGTTTCGTTCATCATAACAAATTGTCAACAATTCAGAAAAGAATTGAGTTTTCCCCACAAACTCTGATATTTCAATACCTTTATCTTTGCAACCCAATGTCGTAGACCATAGATATTTCAAACTATTAACTCTGTTAGATCATGTAATCTAAATCTGAAATATCAAAGGTTTACACCGTCAGGTTGCAAAGATAAAGGGAATGGAATATTCAAGTTTGTGGCTCAACTCCTTTGAAACAAAAATTAGATGAATCTAACACTTTAAAATTCTTTTTTTGTTACTAGTTTAAATTTTTTTTGGTAAGAAGTTCGGATGTCTTGAAAAATTACAAAAAAGTTGATAATAAAGAAATTGCGTCTTTGCCTCAAAATAAAATTGTCAAATCCCTATATTTTTGCAATCTGATGGTGTAACCTTTTATATTTAAAACTTAGATTATTCGATCTAACAGAAATTATAATTTGCAACATATCAGGTTTGAATTCGGGTTGCAAAGATATAAGAAACAAAAAAGCAGTTTTGGTGCCAAAACGATTTATACATTATACAACCTATCCTATACACACAATCACGAACACAATATTATTTAATCTCTGCTTTATTTAAAAAATTAAAATGATGTATTTTTCCAGGTTATTAATCCGCTTCTTATTCTCTTCCTTATCCCAATATTTGATAGAGTCATCTACCCTGTTTTTGCAAAGTAAGTTTTTTTTCTCCATTTTATTCTTTTTCCAGGTTATATTTTTCATCTTTTTTCATCCTTTCATATATACTTTTTAAAATTAGAATTTTTCCTTTTTTCCGTTTTTAAATTCAAAATTTGAGTTTTTCAGAAAAATATTTTAAAAATACGTTATCTGCGCCGTTGTTTCCAGGATCCATTTGAAATGTTGCCGAAAGTCCCTAAAATTCCGTGATACAACTAAGCAAAAATAAACAATTTAATTATTTTTTTAATGTTTTCTCGTAACTTAATTTCTTATTCTTTTTAATTTAAAACCGGAGGATTATATGCAGTGACTAGTGAGTTAGAAAATATTTTTTTTGTGTATTTTGATGATTTTGCTGAAATGCAAAATGTTTATATTTAATTTTTATATTTGCTTCAGGAAATTAAAAAACCTCAATTTTATGAAAGGTTTCGATCACTTTTCCTGGATTTTATTTTCCTATTTCCTATATTTGTCAAACTTCAAAGTTTTCTTTAATTTGACACTTATGGAACAGAACTTCCCTACTTTCCTCAATTATGCCGGAGTAATAATGCATTTAATATGTTCTTAGTTTATTTAATTTCAAAGTTTGAACAGTGCATAACTGCTTGATTTATTACAGGGTGTAGGAAGGGGGGGGGGGGGTGGTAACCTGATGGTGTAAACCTTTGATATTTTAAACTACGAATATAAGATCAAGCAGAATTCAAGTTTAAAATGTCAAAGGTCTACACGACATTGGGCTGCAAAGATATAAGGAGAAACCATTTCTCGAACTTCTATTGATCTTCATTGATAATAAGCATGTCTAAATCACAAAGGTATCCTATAAAAGGATCATCAAGGACGGAGATATTCTTGTTTTATGGCTAAAAAGTTCAAAGTTAATAACATCAGTGCATATAAAAGTTTATATCTATGAATGACGTCACATGGTTCCTGAATACCATCAAATGAATCGGACATGCATCTCTATTAATTTAAATAACCACTTTTAGTCCCTTTAGGAAAATCCTGATTATATTATTTTCAGGTGTGGTCTCCTGATTAAACCTTTACAGAGGATGACTGCTGGAGGTCTTCTCACAGCCTGCTCATTCTTTATCTCCGGAATCCTTGAACTACAGATGATGAAAACATATGCCAAGGTTTGATATTTGCTTTATCTCCGGTATCCTTGAACTACAGATGATGAAAACATATGCCAAGGTTTGATATTTTTTTATCTCTGAAATCCTTGAACTACAGATGATGAAAACATATGCCAAGGTTTGATATTTTCTTTATCTCCGGTATCCTTGAACTACAGATGATGAAAACATATGCCAAGGTTTGATATTTTTTTATCTCTGGAATACTTGAACTACAGATGATGAAAACATATGCCAAGGTTTGATATTTTTTTATCTCTGAAATCCTTGAACTACAGATGATGAAAACATATGCCAAGGTTTAATATTTTCTTTATCTCTGGAATCCTTAAACTACAGATGATGAAAACATATGCCAAGGTTTAATATTTTCTTTGTCTCTGGAATCCTTGAAATACGATGATAGAAACATATGCCACAAGTGGATATCAAGATCAAACATGATCTTTAATCAAGAGGTTTTCTTCATCAGACTTGATCTTTGATCAGAGATTTTTCTTCATCAGACTTGATCTTTGCGCAGGAAATTTCTTCATCAGACTTGATCTTTGATCAGGAGGTTTTCTTCATCAGACTTAATCTTTGATCAGGGAGTGATCTTTATCAGACTTGATCTTTGATCAGAGATTTTTCTTTAGCAAAGTGCAATTTTTTAAAAATCTTATCTCTGTGTTTTTAATAAATTGTGCATTTTATAACTCTATAAACATTTCTGTCGTCTCAACTTCTCATGCAAACTGTGCCTGCAAATTGTGAACTCAGTTTTTCATGCATAAAAAACATGTTTACTGACAAAGTTTTTTTATCTTTATGGAATGATTTGTTTTTATTTTTACAATCTTTACTTCAGTTTCGCACCTGCATCATGTTTTGCAGATATCATTAATTATTAGATTTACTAGACTTAGTAATAAGACTTTAGTTTCGCTCCTGCATCATGTTTTGCAGATATCATTATTATAAGCTTAACTAGATTTAGTAATAAGCCTTTAAAAAATCTTTTAAATTTTAGGAATGAATATTTTCAACAGTAACAATGGGTCATATAAAGTAAGAAATAGTATTAGATATCAACTATATACGAATGCATCAAATTGAATTTTACATTTATAGGTTGTTATATGATTAAAATTACTTGAATTATTTACAATCTAAGGCGAAAATGCAACTCTGTTAAAAATTTTGATAAAATTTTTTTTCATTCAAATTGTGCAATTAAAACAATGGTGAAAAAATTTTTATATTGCCATCAAAAGGTATTAAAATTGTGAGAAAGCTATTATTGCAGGCATTTGACGCAATCAAATTATGGCTTTTCAGAAATTTGAAAACATAAAATATTATATCCACAGGAATACAAATATATAGTAACCGAACAAGTTTTTTTCTCTCACAGTTTAGTATTTTTGATGTTTTTGCATTTGCTGATATAACACTCGCAATAATTAATTACTTTATTTAAATAATGAGGTTAAGTTAACAATCTAATGCTGAGAGGATAAATCCAAATCACGATTTCCGTATTTACCAACGCCACGATGTAATTCTCTCTCGGTGCGAAAGGATTAAAATGGGGCCCCTCTGCCCCCCTCCCCCCCCAACAGAATTTTATTGAAACCTTTGTTTGAACAAAAATACCAAATATGATCTTGTTTTTGTTATCTGAATTAATTTTCTATGGTAGGCTTGCGGATTAATGTAGAAGAATCAAAATACAAATTATAGAATTCAACTGATATTAAACATTTCTCGAAGACATAATTCTCAGCTCAAATTTTAAAAAGTATCTTTCTGAATCGGAGATGTGTTTTTAAATGGGTGACATTTTAAAGTTGCGTTTACAGTCCCCTCATTACTAATCACTAAGCAAGGATCCTGTTTTTAAATGCCACTTTTATATATATTTGCAAACTTGTTTTTAAACATTGTTGTGTATAATACATTAAGAATTGTTAAAAAATTATTATTTTTTTCTAAATTATGACTGCCTTTGTTTTTTATTTCAACATAAAATTATTGTCAATTTTTCACATCATTCTAACTTTGATAATTTATTTTGATTAAATTTTACAATATTTTAAAATATTTATATGATATCAGATGGAAATATTTAGATATTTCTATATTTCTAGTTCTTCATTTTCATCTAGTTTGTACATCTTTCAATTTTAAATTTATTTAATTAAACTAGCTGGGGATCTCGGAACTCTATATAAAATTGTTTACTTTTGAATTGCATCTTACTAAGAAAAAGCACAATTTCCTAATATTTTCTAGAAGATGGGAAGAGGGGGGAGCGATAGTCTCCCCCTCCCCCTCCCCAGCAGGGGGGAGGAACGTCTTCCAAGCGCCCATATCTAATACGAAGAGATTTCCCTTCCACTTTTTCCGGTTCAATTTTCTTTTTTCTTCTTAAGCTTCTTGTTTCTAGTTTCTAGTTTCTACAAATAGTTCTTTTGATATCAAGTTGTGGAGCAGGTAGGAGAGAGATAAGGTTTTTAGGAGGAAGGGTATAGGGGATTCCTCCCTGTGTTCCTTCTTTTATACTCTTTCTGAGTAAAGGGGCATTTAGGAAACCACAAACCCTAAAGCCCCATTGAGAGGAATCTTCCACAGCAGTCTAATTCTCCTAGCTGGTCCAGTAAAAACCCGGTATCGTTGTGGAATGTGCATGGGTTGTATACCCATCAGGGATTAGACTCTTTCTGTCAGTTACACCAGGCTGAAGATGGAGTCTTGTTTTATTCTAAGTGCATTCCTTGCTTTACCTGTAGGATACATGATGCGCAACTAAACGCAGCGCTCCACCAAACTGTAAAGCCAAGACTGCCAGCCAGGAGTTCCGTTCTCTTCTGAGGGCGGTAGGCAACTGATTTTTCACATCATTGGATGATTGAATTACAAAACTTTCTTAGGCAAGATAACCAATTAAAAAAAACATCAATATTTAAAAACTTTTCAAGTTTTCAGTTCAGGTTATTTTTTAATATGAATTGTTTCAAACAACAACCAATCCTTTATTCCCCCCTTCCCCCCTTCCTCCTTCCCTTAAATCAAACTGAACCAGATGGCTACCCGGAAAAATCAGAAATATTGATGAAGCAAAAGATACAAAATTTCAATAAAGATTTCCAATTTTAATTTTGAATATATGAAGATACTTTAACGATCAGTATTCATGAATATATTGAGGAATATATTGGAAATCTTGATTATAAATACCAGGGGGAATGATTTATATCACAGCTATCTAAATAACTTAACTTAAGATATAGAAACGAGTTACATTTATATATTGAAGGGTTCATATTTTTACACTCCCTATATTTGTATATACCTAGAGTAGGGTTCATATGTGACCTGTATTTATACTCTCTGTATTTGAATATACCTAGAGTAAGATCCATATATCACCTGTATTTAAACTCTCTGTATTTCAATATACCTAGAGAAGGGTTCATATATGACCTGAGCTGAAAACTTTAGAATGGTGGATATCGGGATTAAGGCTTAATCCACTCTTTTTCTTAATCTCGAGATTAAATATTGCTTGTTCTCCACTCATTTTTAATCTCCAGATTAATTATCCGATCAGGATTAAGGATATCCCATTCTAAAGTTTTCAGCTCTGTATTTAAACTCTCTGTATTTGAATATACCTAGAGAAGGGTTCATATATGACCTGTATTTAAACTCTCTGTATTTGAATATACCTAGAGTAGGATCCATATATCACCTGTATTTAAACTCTGTATTTGAATATACCTAGAGAAGGGTTCATATATGACCTGTATTTAAACTCTCTGTATTTGAATATACCTAGAGAAGGGTTCATATCGGACCTGTATTTAAACTCTCTGTATTTTTAGGTACCTGGAGAAGGTGTTTCTAATCTTTTCATGATGAATACTCTACCCTGCCACATAGAGATTCAGGTATATTATTTATGATATTATGTATGTAAGATTAAATACCATTTTAGGGCTTTTTTAATTTAGGAACTTTAACATTTTTTTTCTCGTATTTTCAGTTATAATATTCCCTTCAATTAAGTTTTCCTGGAGGTTGACGTTGGATCTTACGAAATATTTTCTAATTTACTTTATGATCTAAATATTTGAAAGTTTTTAATTACAGCAATTTGCTAACTTTTCTTAAATATAATTTGTAAACATATTAATTTATAAAAATAACTAACGGAGAATTTGAGAAAACAACCATGAAAATGTTACAAAATCTCTCTTTGACTAACAATGTGCACATAGAAGCTCCAATTAACCATACAAATTTAAGAGAGCTTTTATATGAAGGACATTAAGAGAAAATTAATGTAAATAGACTAATAATCAGGAAATTGGCATAAAATGGAGTTTATATAGTTTAATAACTGTTTCCCCCCTGGATTACAGGTTTAGACCTGTATCCCCCTGGATTACAGGTTTAGAACTGTATCCCCCTGGGTTACAGGTTTAGAACTGTATCCCCCTGGATTACAGGCTTGGAACTGTATCCCCCCAGGATTACAGGTTTAGAACTGTATCCCCCCTGGATTACAGGTTTAGAACTTTATCCCCCTGGATTACAGGTTTAGAACTTTATACCCCTGGATTACAGGTTTAGAACTGTATACCCCTGGATTACAGGTTTAGAACTGTATCCCCCTGGATTAAGTTTATAGTTTATAGTTTATAGTTTATAGTTTATAGTGTTTAGTTTCCAGTTTGTAGTTTAGAGTTTCTTGTTTTCAGTTTCTAGTTTATAGTTTATAGTTTATAGTTTATAGTTTATAGTTTCCAATTTTCAGTTTCCAGTTTATATTTCCAGTTTCCTTTTTTCAGTTTCTAGTTTTCAGTTTCAAGTTTTCAGTTTCAAGTTTTCAGTTTCAAGTTTTCAGTTTCCAGTTTTTAGTTTTCAGTCCGTAGTTCGTAGTGATATGCCTATATAAATAAATATGTGTTCATATGCCGAGGGGAGGAAGACCAACCACAACAATTTCTCGTCCGAGCCACAATCTCCTCATTTTCTCGTCCGAGTAACCCCGAAATCCTCGTCCTTTCATATTATTTCTTTTACATGTCTAACCCTCCCAGATAAAACTATTCTTGAATTATTGAATTAAAGTTTTCAAGTTTAATGTCCTTAAATAGTTTCACCTTCTTTACACGCATTTTCAAATAATCCTGGTGTAGAATACCGCAAATAATTCCGAGTTTATAGAACTTCAATCTTTTTTTCTTAATTATAGTGAAAACCATCAAATTTTTCGGGGTGGTTCCATGTGAAAAAAGATAGGCAGAGGTTTTCCAAATATTTTGCTATTTATTTTATATCACGAAGGTTAGCAAGTCATTTCGGAGGCAGAAGAGATTTAAGTTTTACCTAAATAAAGTTTGACATCATTTTCATGGGTTTGAAGATTCCAACATGATGTAATCATTGCAATACTTTAGTCCATCCATATTTTATGCCCTAACGTGGCCAGATTTTTATAAAATAGTTTTACCTTCAAGAATTGGAAACTTTAAAACACATAACAGTCAAAGAACGAGGACTTCGAGGTGACGAGAAAATGAGGAGAATGTGCAGCTCGGACGAGAAATTGTTGTGGCTGGCCTTCTCCCCCTAATATGCCTATATAAATAAATATAAGTCTGTATTCCTTTATACATAAATATATATTCTGCTAGACTTCTAAGTTGTTGACCCCCAGTATAAATGAACAATGGAGGTTGTTATGATATATTATCTTTTTTATATATATTAAGAGACAGGTCTTAGAATACATACAAGTAAATTAGGAAATATAAAATTCTTTCAAAAATACCCTTATCTGTCAATATACTCAATAAGGACTTTACAGAATTCTTCTCAAAAACTATAATATTGATCTACTAATAAACAGGACAACAGAAGGATCCAATGTCTCACTCCCCCGTCAAAGGAATTGAACGGCTTTTCCACAAACTCAAATGTTCTAATTCCTGTATCTTTGCAAGCACGCAGATAGTGTAAACCTTTGATAATTCTACTAAGATCATTTGATTTAACATAATTCATAGCTTGAGATATCTAAGGTCTACGAGATTGGATCGCAAAGATATTGGGATTAGAAAATCAGAGTTTGTGACAAGGACTCAATTCCTATGACCAAAATCAGAAAATAATGTTACATTGATTCAGATTTTATCAAATATCGTATTTTATTTGTTATTAAAAATAATTTTATGTTTAAAACATTTCAGTTGTTCCGGGGAGAGACCGAGTTTGATACCTTGTACATACCGGAGTTCTCCAGTGCAGTACAGTACGAGGTAAAAACCGGTTTAAAAAGCACAAAAATTGTCTGAAACATGATATCGGCATTAAACCTGGTATCTGAACCCGGGTTTCATGAGCTAATTAGCAAAATTTAAAAAGAAATAAAAAAACCAGTATCGGAAATCGCGTTTCATGAATTGATTAGCAAAATTAAAAAAAAAAAATCCTGGTATCGGAAACCGGGTTTCATGAATTGATTAGCAAAATTAAAAGAAATAAAAAAGCTGGTATCGAAAATCAAGTTTCACGAATTGATTAGCACAAAAAAAAAACCTGGTATCGGAAACCGGGCTTCATGAATTGATATTATGAAGAAATCATGATTTTTATTGAAAAATCATCACATGGTTAATTTTTTAAGTTTCTATTAATATAAAAATATAATATAATATAAAAATATTATCTTGTGGAAGACGATGCCTGGCCGCGTTAAACAAGTTCCACAAGATTCTGAACCCTCTATAAGTAATAAGTTATAAGAAATATATATACTGGAAGTTATTTATGCGTTTTTATTAGAGTCTGACTCACGTCCTCTATAAGCTAATATAAAAATATTATCTAATATAAAAAATATTATCTAATATAAGAATATTATCTAATATAAAAATATTATCTAATATAAAAATATTATCTAATATAAGAATATTATCTAATATAAAAATATTATCTAATATAAAAATATTATCTAATATAAGAATATTATCTAATATAAAAATATTATCTAATATAAAAATATTATCTAATATAAGAATATTATCTAATATAAAAATATTATTTTCCAATTATAAGTAACTTGCAGATTTATGTTGCATACACAAGGATTAAGGAAGGAAATAAACAGAAAACGCAATATTTCTTAGGTAACGTCCTACAGGACACGGTTGTCAATCTGCCTTTTTTGGAGGTTTATTTGAAATCCCGACTTCAGTATATTGCATCAAAGTCTCAACCTAGCTAAACATAAAGGTTGTTAAAAAAAACTCCCGTCAAACTTTTTTCTCTTGTTATCCTATCATATTGAAATTAATATCACAATGTCTTTATGACATCAAGACTAGATTATTTAAAAATTATCGGGTTTCGTCAATCCTGCTCTGAATAATGGCTCTTTATCTTTTTTAACCATGTATTCCTAACATTCCAGAGATATTGTGATATTAATTTAATTATGATTGTGAAAGTAATAAAGTCTTTGAGAGAAAAAAAAAGTGTTCAGTGGTTTTTTTAACAATCTTTAGAAACACATGGTCGATGTTTCCTGAAACTTGTGTTTGTATATTTGAACAAGTTGATTAGTTGATTAGTTGATTATTCCCGTATGTTAAGATAGTACCTGGAGAATACAGAACCAGGATCCAGACTAATACAACCTGCCTCCCGGATATACTCAACATTAGAAACAAAGAATTTACAGTGAGTTCAACTTTTAGATTCAATAAAGAATTTAGAGGTCAAAACTTTTGTGTTAGTAAATCCCGGAATTAATCATTTATTCGTTTCTTTTCTACAAGGATTAATTATTTCCTCTCACTTACAAGTATAGGGATTTGATATTTTAGATTTGCACTTTTCACACAAAAGTTTTTACCTCAGGATTGGTCGACGTGTCATGAACTGAATTTTTATTTAATAAATCATGCAGGGAAACCCATAAAACTGCGGAATTGAAGACGACATTGGAGCAATTTTACTTTATTCAAAACTGTGGCTCAAAAAGATTTTTTTTTAAAGATGGAAAAATTTTCAGAATTTAAATATTATCATTTATAATAGTTAATGGGTTATCTATACAGAGCTTAAAATTTTAGAATGAGATATCCTTAATCCCGTTCTGTTAATTAATCTAGAGATTAGTAGCAAGCGGAAAGCAAGCATTATTTTATCTGGAGAAAAAGAGTGGATCAATCATTAATCCCGATATCCACCATTCAAAAGTTCCCAGCTTTAGACAATATTTTAAAGACATTTTTACATTATTTAGTGGAATAGGCATGGTTTAAAATTTGCATTATTTCCAATTGGGTGATCTTTTAATGAAGATTTTTTGAAAAATATTTTTCCACAAATCAATCTGGAACCATTACTATATTAATCATAATTAAATAAGCATTTCATTCTAAAATAACCAAAAACAAGCATCAATTAATAAAAAATCTAAAACTGAAATATATCTAAATATTTAAATGTTAACACACACTAAACCACAATTTTCAGGTTGTTGCCAAGAACAAGAAGGTTTCATCGTTTATTGTCTCAGCAGATGAAGGATCCGTCCTGCTCACATCTCTTAGACAAGAAGAGGACCCAGAGAAGGATGATGATTCAAACGGAAAGTTCAGAGTCATTCAGGAGAGTTAACACAGATTCGAGATCAAACCTTGTTCTCTTAGATCCAACCTTTTCTCTTAGATCCAACCTTGTCTCTTAGATCCAACCTTGTCTTTTAGATCCAACCTTGTCTCTTAGATCCAACCCTATCTTTTAGATCCAACCTTTTCTCTTAGATCCAACCTTGTCTCTTAGATCAAACCTTGTTCTCTTAGATCCAACCTTGTCTTTTAGATCCAACCTTGTGTCTTAGATCCAAACTTATCTTTTAGATCCAACCTTGTCTCTTAGATCCAACCTTGTCTCTCAGATCCAACCCTATCTTTTAGATCCAGCCTTGTCTCTTAGATCCAACCTTGTCTCTCAGATCCAACCTTGTCTCTCAGATCCAACCTTGTCTTTCAGATCCAACCTTGTTTCTTAGATCCAACCTTGTCTTTTAGATCCAACCCTGTTCTATTAAATCAAACCCTGTCTCTTAGATCCAACCCTGTTCCCTTGTACTCAAACCTTGTTCTTTTAGATCCAATCCTGTCTCTAAGATCAAACCCTGTCTCTTAGATACAGCCTTGTCTCTTGGATCTAACCTTGTTCTCTTATATACAACCTTGTCTCTTAGAACCAACCCTGTCTCTTAAATCCAACCCTGTCTCTTAGATCCAACCCTGTTCCCTTGTAGATCCAACCTTTTTTTCTTAGATCCAATCCTGTCTCTTAGATCCAACCCTGTCTCTTAGATCCAACCTCGTCTCTTAGATCCAACCCTTTCTCTTAGATACAACCTTGTCCCTTAGATCCAACCTTGTCCCTTAGATCCAACCTGGTCTCTTAGATCCAACCTTGTTTATTAGATCCAACCTTGTCCCTTAGATCCTACCTTGTCTCTTAGATCCAACGTTGTTTATTAGATCCAACCTTGTCTCTTAGATCCAATCTTGTCTCTTAGATCTAACCTTGTTTTTTTAGATCTAACCTTGTTCATTAGATCCAACCTTGTTTATTAGATCCAACCTCGTCCCTAAGATCCAACCTTGTCTCTTAGATCCAACTTTGTTTATTAGATCTAACCTTGTTCTCTTAGATCCAACCTTGTCCCTTAGATCCTACCTTGTCTCTTAGATCCAACCTTGTTTATTAGATCCAAACTTGTTTCTGAGATCCAACCTTGTCTCTTAGTTCAGACCTTGTCTCTTAGATCCAACCTTGTCTTTTAGATCCAACCATTTCCCCTAGTATATGTATTGAATCTGTTACTCTGGGTCCAGGATATGTTGGTGACTGAAATGTCTAATGATCCTTGGATCCAGCTAAACGGAACCGAGCTCGACCAGCTCCACAATGCTACAGGAGAGGTTCCAGTAGTCGAGCATTCTCATCATAATGGAGGTGAGGAGGAGGAGGAGGAGGAGATAAGCTTGGAGGAGGATCTAAACTTGGAGGAGGAGAGATTTCTCCAGCATCCGTATAGAGCTGAGGATATTGGAACCTACAGGTGGATATATATATATACTTATTTATACAAAGATACGTTCTTTCCAACGGTTGGGAGAGGGGAGGATGTCTGATGCCAATGGGGTGTCAAGGGGGGGGGGGGGGTTAGTCACAAAATGAAAAATATGCATATTTTATTGAATTTTTATATTATCCCGTCTAATAGTCTAATATGCGGAAAAGGTTGAGCAACCTGTTTTTTACTTCGTAGCGACAATAATAATTGATAAAGCTTGATTAAACTTGATCAGATTAGATCAGATCATAATAAAGCTTGCTTAAGCTTGATCAGATTAGATCAGATCATAATAAAGCTTGCTTAAACTTGATCAGATTAGATCAGATCGTAATAAAGCTTGCTTAAACTTAATCAGATTAGATCAGATCATAATAAAGCTTGATTAAACTTGATCAGATTAGATCAGATCATAATAAAGCTTGATTAAACTTGATCAGATTAGATCAGATCATAATAAAGCTTGATTAAACTTGATCAGATTATATCAGATCAAAATTCGAACAAACTTGCACGTTCACATTCGGGTTGCATTTCAAGGTTTTCTAATCAACTTGAAAAAATATCCCTTTTCTTGTACATTAAACATCGCAAAAGATCTATAACTTCCATTAAACTACTATTTTTAATCTTCTAGTTTGTTGGCAGACCTAGAGAAGGTTGGAGACGTTCACCTGGAGCAGGGAGGAGTCTATACAGTTCTTCTCACAAAGGTTGGTTTAACTCAAATATCAGTTTTTCTGTAAACAATTCCTAGCTTGTAAACAAACTTTGATTAGATATTTGTTTATGTTTACTACATAGTTATTCAGCTGAAGAACTACAGGGTGTCCCAATAAACATGATAGTTGAGAGACGACGTTGATATCGTCCTGGATCTATAATAGCTGCATAATGACAACATTCGTAGTAACACAAATTTCAAAGGATTAAATAGTAAATAATATTTCCATAATGTGATGAGCCTCTCGTAAAGCTTCTAAGTTGTTCTACCGTTTTCTGATGCACACTTTATCCTTCGATAGCTTTCAAAGATCAAAGATACCAATTCAGCAGTCTCTGGTGGGACACTCTGTACGTCACATATTTTGCTCCCATCCTTGTGTCTATAGTAATTTTGGTTAAAGAAACTTATAGACATTCTTTCAAATAACCGTTTACGGAGAGGCAGGCGCGGTTCACCATGCTATACTTAAACCCTTTCACAGAAAACATTTAAACCGACCCAAAGTTCCGATGGCGAATTCAACGGGTAGATAATTCTAGAATTTTGATGTTTGACATCGGCATTTCGGAGATTTAAGGTTTGCAAGGTTGTCTAATTTAGGATGGCGAAGATATCCTAAATTTCTGAAAATTGAGTGCCGGGACACTCAAGGTTACAATATACACTCGATATTACTGACACTCTATTTAAAGCCTGAACTAGACAACCGTTGTAGATCGGACATATTCGCCAATCTTGAAACTACGTCTCTTTGATAAATGAATAAAGTTTCTGTCACACACCTAAATCTTTTAATCCCTATTATCTTTGCAACCTGAAAGTCTCAACCTCTGACATTTAAAACTGTAATTATTTAATCAAACAGAAATCATAGTTTTAAATATCTAAGGTCTGCGACATTGCGTTTCAAAGATTTTGGGGCTAGGAAATCGGAGTTTGTTGCAAAGACTCAATTCCTTAATCCATTTTATAGAATCCTGCCACGCAAGAACTTGAAGTTATGCAGTACACTCTTACGGAGAAAAACTCTATTCACATGCTCTGGTTGGTCCCGCAGTACGTCGTCATCACGGTCGGAGAGATCATGTTTAGTATTACAGGGTTGGAGTTCTCCTATAGTCAGGTTAGACATTAATAACAGGGTTGGAGTTTTCCTATAGTCAGGTTAGAGATTAATAACAGGGTTGGAGTTCTCCTATAGTTAGGTTAGAGATAAATAACAGGGTTGGAGTTCTCCTATAGTTAGGTTAGAGATTAATAACAGGGTTGGAGTTCTCCTATAGTTAGGTTAGAGATAAATAACAGGGTTGGAGTTCTCCTATAGTTAGGTTAGAGATAAATAACAGGGTTGGAGTTCTCCTATAGTTAGGTTAGAGATTAATAACAGGGTTGGAGTTCTCCTATAGTTAGGTTAGAGATAAATAACAGGGTTGGAGTTCTCCTATAGTTAGGTTAGAGATTAATAACAGGGTTGGAGTTCTCCTATAGTTAGGTTAGAGATAAATAACAGGGTTGGGGTTCTTCTATATTCAGGTTAGAGCTTAATAACAGGGTTGGGGTTCTTCTATAGTCAGGTTAGAGCTTAATAACAGGGTTGGAGTTCTTCTATAGTCAGGTTAGAGATTAATAACAGGGTTGGAGTTCTCCTATAGTCAGGTTAGAGATTAATAACAGGGTTGGAGTTCTCCTATATTCAGGTTAGAGCTTAATAACAGGGTTGGAGTTCTTCTATAGTCAGGTTAGAGATAAATAACAGGGTTGGAGTTTTCCTATAGTCAGGTTAGAGATTAATAACAGGGGTTGGAGTTCGTAATGATATTGATTATAATGTAAGTTTAACAGTTTTACATAGTATGTCAGGACAATCATATATATATCTATTTGTCTTGTATGGTTTATGGATGGTCAAATTTTGTCTGGAAAAAGTATTCTTTATTTATTATTTAAATCCTCCAACTTAACAGAAAAATCCTTGAAAATGTTTGTTTATTACAATCTGTGTAGAGCAAGATAAAAATGGCGACTTGAAAAGTGAAAAGCTTAAATTGTTAATGAAAATAAAATAATTTAGGCTCCTGACAGCATGAAATCTGTATTGCAAGCAGCTTGGCTTCTTACCGTTGCTTTCGGAAACATCATTGTCATCATCGTCGCCGAGGCCAAGTCCTTGAACCAAGCCAACGAGTTCTTCATGTTCGCCTGTCTTATGATCGTTGATATGTTTCTGTTCGCGCTCCTAGCGTGGAGGTAAATATATTTTAAAGGAACTATTGACAGTATTTGTAGTGATCCTCCATTTATAAAGTGAAATGTCCAGATCCTTGTAATCTTTGTCTAATCAAGGATGAATGGGATTTCCTTGTTATTCTAGCGGAAAATTGATTATTTTTCACTGTGATTATCTGTAAAAGTGACTTGCGAATTTATGCTGCAACGACAATAGCGGGAATCAAATCAGAATTTAACTATTCTTACTTAGATACAGAGGTAATGAATCGGACATGAATCTTTTAATATGATTGAATATATATTATTTATGTGGAATAAAATTGGGGGGAAACACAAGGGGTGGCCGGGGGGGGGGGGGTAAATTTTATCCATCCTGGATAAAGGATAAAGGATACACTTGAAATACAATTAGACTGGGTGTCCCAAATCTTCTTGTATTAGACTGGGTGTCCCAAATCTTGTTGTATTAGACTGGGTGTCCCAAATCTTGTTGTATCATTAGACTGGGTGTACCAAATCTTGTATTACTTGTTTTGAAATTTTCACGTACTTAAAACTAAACTATAACGTCTTAACTATCGCACCTGATATCGACAGCGTTCAAAGACGACAAAAAAAAACACTTTTGGAGACACCCTTATAATAAAGTGTCTTCTGAATATAATTTGCATATTGAAGTTGTGGGATTGCAGATTTCAGAATAGAATTGCTTAATTAAAACAGAATATTGGTTTAAAGGCATATACAACTTCCTGGATATAATTCACTGTAATATCTTTTCAAACCTGATCTTGGAGACTGCACATAGATAACATTGAGTAATACTATAACACTGTACACTCATGATCATTTCAAGAACCGGACAGACTTTTGAGCAACTAGAGCAAGCTATACAAATTATATAAGGCTAAAAGGGACGGTACACCAAATAAATCAGCCCTTGCAACCTGATGACGAAAAACTTAGGTTTTTATTTCTTTTTGATCTGACATAAATCATTTTTATTAAATATCAAGAGTTTACAATAACAGGTTGCACATATATAATGATTAGAAAATTAGAGAATGAGGAGAGTTATCAGTTCCTTTATGATTAACAACACAGAATATTTGCTTGATTTAGAGATTAACAACACAAAATATTTAGAGATTAACAACACAGAATATTTGCTTGATTTAGAGATTAACAACACAGAATATTTGCTTGATTCAGAGATTAACAACACAAAATATTTGCTTGATTTAGAGATGAACAACACAGAATATTTGGTTGGTTTAGAGATTAGCAACACAGAATATTTGCTTGATTTAGAGATTAACAACACAGAATATTTGGTTGATTTAGAGATTAACAACACAAAATATTTGGTTGGTTTAGAGATTAGCAACACAGAATATTTGCTTGATTTAGAGATTAACAACACAAAATATTTGCTTGATTTAGAGATTAACAACACGAAATATTTGCTTGATTTAGAAATTAACAACACAGAATATTTGCTTGATTTAGAGATTAACAAAACAGAATATTTGCTTGATTTAGAGATTAATAAAACAAAATATTTGGTTGGTTTAGAGATTAACAACACAGAATATTTGCTTGATTTATAGATTAACAACACAAAATATTTGCTTGATTTAGAGATTAACAACACAGAATATTTGCTTGATTTAGAGATTAACAACACAGAATATTTTCTTGATTTAGAGATTAACAACACAAAATATTTGCCTGATTTAGAGATTAACAACACAAAATATTTGCTTGTTTTAGAGATTAACTACACAAAATATTTGCCTGATTTAGAGATTAACAACACAAAATATTTGCTTGTTTTAGAGATTAACTACACAAAATATTTGCTTGATTTAGAGATTAACAACACAAAATATTTGCTTGTTTTAGAGATTAACTACACAAAATATTTGCTTGATTTATAGATTAACAAAGCAGAATATTTGCTTGATTTAGAGATTAACAAAACAAAATATTTGGTTGGTTTAGAGATTAAGAACACAAAATATTTGTTGGATTTAGAGATTAACAACACAGAATACTTGCTTGATTATAGATTATCAAAACAGAATATTTGCTTGATTTAGAGATTAACAACACAAACTGTTTGACCTCTATGAGATTTTAATTTCTATATTTATACAATTGGTTTCCTCTCTAAAAAACTCAATTTTATTTGATTTCTAAGCTTCAACTATATTTCAGGTATGTCCCACGGAAAGTTGAAAAGGAAAAGTCCGATGAAATAGATCTGGAGCCTCGTGGAGTCTCAAACTCTAACTTCTCAAACGAGGATTAAAGAAAGACTAATCTAAAAACCTAGAAGATAAATTGAAATTAATGGCGAGCAAAAAATTTCATTCAACGACATAGAGTGCAATTCCAAGCCAGAACTGGAACCTGTGTTAACCAAAACTGGCTTAGGTTTCACTAGAACAAGAACTTGTTTTAACGAGAAGTATTTAGAACCGGTTTTAAACAAAACTAGAACCTGGTTCAACCAGAATTAGATTGTCTGAGGTCTCTTTGCCAATATTGATAATTTTGGTAGGGTTAACCTCCCTACCATTCATTGTACTGGTATATGGTAAGTTATTGTTCCAAATGTATGTTTACATATCAGTCTTAACAAAAATATTTCTTACTGATGACGACATCATTATTTTGATGCACGATTTTAAAAATTCAACCATCTGAGAATAAATTTTTACAGTACTTTCTATATATATATCCATTATTGTGATTATATGTACTAAAATTAAAATTTAGTCATCAAACTAATGAAAGGTGTAGAAATTATGAATAGTTAGAAGTGAATTGTACAAAAATGGACAGCTTATCATTTTTCAATTGTTCTTAATATGTATAATCATGTACAACGTACAGCATTTGAAATGAAATTAAAATGAAGACGACTTTCGATTTTAATATTTTTTATTTCTATACCAAGCTTTCAAGCAGTATGGATACACATAAACTTGAAAACAAAACTAAGCTGTAAATTAACAGTTTCTCTTTGTTTACTTGTAAACTCGTAATTTGAAGCAAGCGTCTTCGGAATCAAAACATAAATGTAGAAGTCGTTTTTATTGTATTAATATAAACGCGGACTACTGTACATAATCAGTTAACTGTTTACGTTTATTGTAAAAATGTTTAAAACAGTTTCACAATCAAATTATTCTTTCAGATTAAAAAATCCATTTTCATAAAAGAAGAAAAAACTTGAAAGTACAAACTTGTTTAGAATTAAAATTGCATCCCATTTTCCTAAGCTCATATTGAAGAAAAGATACACTAAGCCCTTTGTTCCGACAAAATCTTTCTTTGATTTCATTTTCACTTTGTTAAATTAAAATGTGCTACACCGCAGTATTGAAAATACAGGGCTACCCGCACAGGATGAGACTGCAGAGACGATTGTACGGAATTTTAATCAATCTTCTTTCTTAGGTTCAAGATTTCTTGCAGCTGTCAACTTGTTTCTTTTATAAAGACTGTATTTATGGCAGTAACCTATGTTCAATCTCCAGGGCGCAATATCTATGGAGTTTAAGGTCGTCATTGAAGTCTCATCCTTTGTGGGTAACCCTGTATATTTAAGATTAATTGTAATATATATATATATATAATAATCATTATATTTGTGCATCCTGAATTTTAAAATGCAACATGGTGCATAAAATAAATTTGAAAATGAAAATATTTCAAATTTTCATGAATAGAAAGTGTTTCACAAAAAGATTGTCGAAAGTGGAAGAAGAAAGAAAGAATTTTGAATATCTTGCAACACAGTTTTCAATATTTTTTAGGACAAATTTTTGCTTTCATCTTCTTCAGATAGATCAGTTTTAGACCTGAAAAACACCTTTGAATGTTTAGAAATTACAAGAGACAAAAGTAAAAACCTTGGTGGAAACCCAGTTTTGCTTGGAAACCAAACTTTCGCTATTAAAGTCAACCCACTCACTACTTAGAATTTATAAACCAAGCTATAAGGCTTAGGATATTTCTGTGGTTCTACCGAATTCAAGACATTTTCAGCAATTGTTTTAATCTGAGCCCGCGATTTAAAAACTTTGAAAAACTACGGCTCTCGTTAGGCCTTATTTACGGCTTGAGCTTTCGGATTCAAGCTGCATCTTATTTTCCACAAAGTTGAGTTCAAAAAACCGGTTCAATATTCTATTTGGCGGATTTTCATGGTAGGAATTGTCGCATTCCGGGTTTTTATGAGAACAAGACTCAACATTGAGCCTTATTCTCCACTAAAACCAACTAAGGTCGGTTTTATTTTCATTGGGCCTAACTCCTTCAGTCGAGCCGAAGATCTTGCAGCTGACAATCACGTGACACAAGCTGTCGTAAGAGTTGGGTCGAAGATTGGGCCTTAAAGTCAAGTTAATGGAATTACGGCTCGAGCCGAAGTTTTAATATCGCGGGCTCAGATAACCCCTTTCGTTGCGTCTCTTTAGTCTTTCATTTATTCGTTGCTTTTTATTATTACGCTTCCTCCCCCTTCCCAATCCTTTCTTCCTCCCTAGCTCAATTGTTTATTATATAAACCTAAATAACACTGCGGTATTTGCACTTGGAAATATTCTAATAAAAGGTTACTGCAAGAAAATCCAATATTTAGAAGGGCTATAAATTGAGAACGCTTCTTAACCTCTGGTTGTAATCGTCATTTCAAATGACCCTGGCAAAGATGCCCTATTCACAACGGCACCCTTGAGTATGATCTGTATATACAGAGTGTCTCTAAAAAAGCTCTGTAGGGTGCTTAACACCTTGGTTAAATTAAAATTTTTGTTTGAAAATTTCTAATAGATCGATGTCAACTAAAGGTATGTATGTATGAATTAGTATAAGAACAATTTCAAATTTGACATTTTGGCTTGGTTGACCATTGCAATTGGACCAATGTGAAAATATTATCATTACATTCTCATTTTATTTCAATAGATTATAAGAAGGTTTTACAAATACACAAAATGATTAAGAATATTATTATAATGATAATCACAATGATAATTGACTTGAAGCAGGATGTCTTGTACAGTGAAGTTTGCGCCCACACTCCATTAAAAGTTCAGGGATAAAGTTTTTGTGGCTCTTTTGTCGTCCACAAAAGCAAAGAATTTTAATTCTTGCATTGTCTAGTATTTTTCAAAAATAACTGCGCAATTTTTAGATTTGTTTCGAAGATTTGCATTCTTTAGATCCTAATAAAATTCCATAATCTGTATAATTCAATTTCATAAACTCAACCAAGCAAATATGTCAAATTTCAAACTGTGCTTTTTTTATTTACGTTTTGTGCTGCATACTTCTAATTTACATCAATCAATTGGAAATGGTCTATAGATTCAAAAATGTCACAAATTGAGCCATGGTATGTGTTCCAGCACCCTAAATAGCGTTTTTTAGACACACCCCTTATCAATGTTTTTAATTTTGAAAACTGATCATTTTCAATCAATGCTTTCTCTGTAAAATTGATTTGCGCATTTCTACTGCAGGAACACTTACATAAATTATTAGAAATATGTACTTAATTGGTCAGATAATGGTTTTACGGGTGCTGTTGTGAATCGGGCATTGCCATTTTTGTATGGAAGCTTACTTAAGATTACGCTTTCATGTTCCCTTAAAGACTTTTGTTTATTTACAACAAATTCTCAATTTATTGGTGCTCCTTTTTAAATATTCAGTAAAAATTGGACCCGTCCCCATTTTGATTTAATTGCAATTATTTTATTTTAAGGAGTTTGGTTATGGAACCATGCTTTGCTTGAAAAAAATGTCTCCAAAATTGCAATAAAAAAGACTAAAAATACGATTCTTGAAAAAAATAAAAATAAAATTGAAAATAGAATTAATTTCTTCGAACAATAAAAATACCAAAAACTTATTTACTCTTTCGTTTACTTCTAGCTTAGTAAAAAAAAAACTATTTGCAGCAGTCTAAAAATAAAAATTAAAAATGGTAGGTGAGGTGAGGTGATAGAAGATCTGCGTTTGCATTATTATCTTTATAAACTCAATTGGGGTTTGATCAAGATTATCCAAAAACAGTCTTTAAACTTATCGAGATAAGAGATATCTATAAACCACCCCCACCCCAATCCATAATCCTTCGGCCAAAGATATGCCGACTGTGCGAAACTCCTCAGGGCTTCTGCCTCAGTTTTATTGTTTACGAGTTTAATCCAAATCTTGAAAAGACGACATCTAGTGTCCCATCTGTTATTTTAATTAATCTATGGGCAGTCTTTTTAAGCCACCACTGTGACTGATCGATTGATTGAGTCTATATGAAAACTAATAGATCCTCTGCAAAATATCCAATTTTCATTTCTGTAAAATCCCCCGGATAGAATTTTATTCATCTTTACTTAAATTATGAAAGTTTGACACGAGAATCATGGAAACTTTTCAGTTGAAAACAACATGGGTTTATCCAGATTAGGGAATCTTTTGTCCTTTCATTGCTTTTAATTAGGGTTTCAACCAAGAGTAAATTGGGGAGATTCCGATTGGACCAACTGAAAAATATAGAAAACCGTTTCTGAGAAACATCTGTAGACTGTGCATTTAATTTGAATATTTTAAATTAAACTAAATAATTAAACTTGTAATCATAGTTTGTTTTAGAAGAAATATATTCCCCACTTTTTTTACTGTTATGTTAGATTTTTGCCTTTTTCAAACTTTGGTTGTTTTGGCGTTTGTAGCATTATGTGTTTCTTTTTCATTGGTAGTTTTGTTGCATTGGTCGTTTAGTAATTGGCCGTTTTGTAATTGGTCGTTTTGTTGCATTGGTCGTTTTGTAATTGGTCGTTTTGTTGAATTGGCCATTTTGTAATTGGTCGTTTTGTTTCATTGGTCGTTTTGTAATTGGTCCTTTTGTTGCATTGGTCGTTTGATAATTGGTCGTTTGTAGTATTAGTCGTAATTAAGAATTTGTCGTTCTGAAATTGGGCTTTATAGTATAAGGCGTTTTGCTGAATCGGTTATTTTGTTGCATTAGGCGTTTTTTATTTGGCAGTTTGTAGCAAAGGCGTTTTGTTGCAAAGTATGTTTTAACCAGGGGCGTATACTAGATGTGAACTAAGGTGGGTGGGGGGGGGAGGGGGAATGAGATTTATAGGAGGATGTCTTTAAGAAATATTTGGGTGTCGTATGCGCCCCTGATTTTAACATTATGAAAGATGTTGCGTGAAAGAGAGCTCAAGAAGAAAAAATGCCTGTAATTGGTATAAATTTGAAAAATCTTATTGCCACTATTAGCCTTCGAGCCTTTTAATTCTTAAAGAAGACATATAGAGAGGTTGAGAACCATGCCTATCTGCACTTTTCTTTGAGAGAAAAATTTCTAGCTATACATAAATCTTAATTTAATGAAATTTACAAATTTGAAATTCGATGTTATTATGATGAATAAGGGTTTAGTCAAAGATATTCTAAATAAAGGATTTGTTGTACATATTTTCAAAACAAGAGGTTTAGTAATAAGTAAGTAAGTAATTATTCACTTATAAAATATTGCAAAAAATATATATATTACAAAGGAATTGAGTCTATGTCACAAACTCTGATTTATGAATCCCTATATCTATACAACCCAGTGTAGTAGACCTTAGTCATTTCAAACCATACATTTTTATGGATCAAATAATCTAAGTTTGAAATATCAAAGGTTTACATTATCTGGTTGTAGAGATATAGGTATTAGAAAATTTGAGTTTGTGGCAAAGACTTAATTCCTTTATAAACATATTTTTTTTTGACCCATGCGTTTGGGATCAGTAATTGATTCCTATCTAGTTTAAATATCTATGAAAAAGTAGATATCCGGAGAACGGATTTCCAAACACAATAAATTCTTCTTGATTATTCACCCAAATTCGTCATATTCTCTATATTTTTACCCTTAGATCTTTGCAACCTGAGCATAAAGTTATTCTTAAACCTTTGATACTTTAATCTATAAATTCAGTTAGATCATCTAAATAAGTTTTGAATATAATCGCTTTACTCAATCAGGTTTTAAAGATATAGGAATTAGAAAATTATAGTTTGTGGCAAGTGTTTTATTTTCTCGTCGAATTGTGTGTATGTAAGATCAAAACTAAAATATTATTCTCAACAATAAATCTGAAAATATACAATGTGGATTATGTCGTTGGTTAAATTCTAATTTTAAAAGTAAATTGAAGATTATATATATCCTGAAACAGACAAGTTCAATTTAGTCTCTTCTACTTTCATGAATTTAAAATTGTCTTTTTAAACCATAAACGCCCAGTTTCAGAATTGGATAATCTCATGAAAACTTTTTAATACAAGAGTCTCAACACTAAGTTTCTTTAATCTTTCCGCAAATACTGTTAGAGCTTTTTTAAAAGATCTGTGCATTACAGCTTTACAAGGGTTATCACCATGGATAAGACTTCAGAGACAGCTGTCTAAAAATTACAATTTATCCTTAGTCTTATTTCTTAAAGGAACTGTAGAATGTGAGAATGTTGAAAAATGTTCAAAATTGAACACTTTTCAAGCTAGAAAACGACGATATTTTCGCCAAAGGAATTGAGTCTTTGCAACAAATCCCAATTTTCTA